TCTCTGGGCTGCATACTCTACGTGCTGTGGCAAATGGTTTGGCTGGGTTCCACTCCTTCCACTGGGCTATCTCCGTTTTATGTTGTGTTTGGTTTTCAGCCACCGGTGTTCACCATTTAGGAGAAGGATTCTAAGGCTCCCTCAGCTTTTTTATCTGCTCTTAGGTGCCAGCAAACCTGGAGAAGGGCTGGGCAGGCCATTTCCAAATCATTGGTTAGCCAAGCTAATGCTGCTAACTGTTGGAGATTCTGGCACCCCTATATCGAGAGGGCCAGAGAGTGTGTGTCATGTTGGGTTCAAGGCGTCTAACCCACATGCAGAAACACACTCGGAAACAGGGAAAAGGTTAAATGATTTATTTACAATTATTTACAAAGAGGGTTTTGCACGGGTTCTGGGTTCTGCGGTCTGGTCACAGGAGGAACACCACTTGAGGAGGACAGAGCAGTTAGAATGGATCCAGGAAATGGACAGTTTACAGATGACGGGGTAAAATACCTGCTCAGAAGGGATTCTGATCTGCAGGGGGGGAACCTTATGAGTCAAGAGGCTTGTTGGCAGGCAGAGGGCTGAGGGCAGAGGCAGAGACTGAGACTGAGTGCAGGCAGGCAGATTCCAGGCAGAGATTTCTTTCTTCAGAGTTTCAGGTTTCCAGGCAAGTCAGGATCTGAGAGACAGAGAGAAACAGGGTCAGACAGGCTCACAAAAACAGGGTCTAGATCAGGCTGGCTGGCTCAGGTTTTGCTAACCATTACTGGCAAACTCTCTGGCAGGGAAGTGTCAGTGTCCTCCTCCTTAAGTAGGTCCTCTGATGAGGAAACAGGAAACAGGTGTGTAGGTGAGCTCATGCCCTCAGGAGAAGATCTCAGGCGCCATCTGGTGGAGAAAGTGGACAAGCCTCCAGATCCCAACAGTGTGGCTATCTACCGAAGACCTTCCCCTAAGGTTAGATAGTAAGAAGCTGGCACCTCGTTTTATCAGGACATTTCCTATCACGAACGTGGTTAAACCGGTGGCCGTCCGCCTCCAGCTTCCTCATACTATGAGAATACACCCTATGTTTCATGTGTCCTGGGCCAAGCCTGTTGCTACCTCTAAGGTTGTGCCCAGCTCCAGGCCCCCTCCACCCGCCCCAATTGTTGACGGGGAACCTGCATACACAGTCAACCGCCTTCTGAGGTCCAGGAGAAGAGGCAGGGGGATCCGGTACTTGGTGGACTGAGAAGGTTATGGACCTGAGGAAAGGTCCTGGGTTCCTGTCAGGTTTAGACAAGGGCCTGATTAGGGCTTTTCATATGGGGCACCATGAACAGCCCAGAAGGGCTTCTGGATTCCATCCTTGAGGGGAGGCTTCTGTCATTAACTTGGCACTGATGACTTGATTATTGGTTCAGTCCATCTACCTGCCTAGCCCCACCCAGTTTTCATTACCTTTCATTTGATCCACCTGTTCCAGCTTTTACTTAAACTGTTTGGTCCCAGCCATCAGTGCCATAATATTACCTTAGATGAGAGTTCTATAGCATACGAAGTGTGTTATTTTGATTGCCTGGTCCTGACTAGTTTCTGCTCCTGGACGTCTGAGCCTGCCTGTCCCTGTTCTGATCTGTATGCCTGACCTGTCTTCAGACTCCTGCTGTATTCTGTCTGCTCGCTACCTTGGATCTGTCTCCTGACCCCGGCTTGGATTTCCCTATGGTACCTTTTTAGATCTCTGATCTTCTGGCCTGGATTACAACAACCTCATCGATACTGGTTTTGGCTTCTCTTCCCAGAAACTCCTGCTCTTCCTCGGCTGCTAGATTCTGCTCATTGGACTGCTCTGCAGCACCTTTGGCCTCTACTCCTGGAACTCTCTGGGTGGCGTCTGCAGCGTGTTGTGTGAAATCATCCAGCTGGATTCCACTCCTTTCTCTGGGCTCAGACTGAACTTTAAAACCAGGTTAGTGACTCACACGCTTGTAATCATCCACTGTCAGATTTATGGTGTCACTAATGTGAGTTTTCCCCTTTATAGAGATGACGTCTTTTTTCTTCCTAGCTGCTGAGTCACAGATTCGAAGCTGTCAATAAGTGCTATTGTTGACCACATCAGTCTGTCTGCATGAAATTCTGGGTCCAAAATTCTGAGCCCTGACATTTATGTGCAGTTCAGAAGCAGTAGTGAAGAATTTTAATCAGAATTTACACACATGCATCCCAGACTCCATCAGGTCACACAGGAGTATCAGCCATAGTTCCTCCATTCAAAATTAATATAGGGAGAAAACTAAATGAAGGGTTATCTGTAAAAACTGCTGTTGGTGAAATGGATTGAGGAGACCACATCACTGAAAGCCGTCAGATTGTCAGATTCATGATATCTGGCTCTATAGAATACAAAGGAATGTTAGAAAAATAAAAAATAAATGCTAGAAGAAACAGAATAAAAGAAAGGACCATATCTAGATTATGGTGGGGGAACATAAGATTTAATTCTAATCTAAATATGATGGGAAAAAACGGAAGATAGAAACTCTTCGGAGAAAGTGAAACAATAGACCTTGTAATGTATAACTAGAAATTAACAGAGGGAAAGAACATAATTAACAAGGAAAGGAAAAGTTTGATACATATTTTAAGAAATTATACTTTTGATAAGTGCAATAAAAATGATATCAAGGTCATCACACACACGGTTTTCCTTTAATCAGCATCCAGTTTTTAAAGTGGCATATTTTATCATTGACATTTGCCCCATACCATTGTAATTGTTAACATGAGAGTCTGATTTATGTTGTAATAAGTTTGTCTGGGTTTATTGTTTTACTGAACTGGCCTTTGGACACTGAGTCACAAAGATTTTCATTTTACAACAGCAACATAACCTGGTTAACAAAAAGAAAAGTGACCTCATCTCTGCATGTTTAGTGGGGTTGTTTTCGAAAATGGTTTGAGATAAAGAGAAATATAAGATATACACAGATCACACAATTGTGAGATTTTCATATAAAGCACGTGCTAAACATAGCTGGTGGACGAAACACTATCATGTTAGCATTCTGTCTAAACTCCTGATAAAAGCTAAGTTAACTCAGACTGATTTTACAGACTGGAACAAACATAATGGGGCAATTCCTGCTTAGATCCATACGTACATCAAGGACAAGGCTCCAACAGACGACATCCTCACTGAATGTCTCAGACGATGGGGAACAGAAGATGAGGTGCCAGAGACTCCATCTTGGGAGGATAAGCCCCTACACAGGATGTATCACCGGAACGTACTCGAAGTGGCAGATATCGGGAAATCCTACCAATAGCTAGACAAAGCCGGACTGAAGGAGAGCACAGAGGCACTCATCATGGCTGCACAGGAGCAGGCCCTAAGCACCAATGTAATAGAGGCTCAGATCTACCACACCAGACAAGACCCCAGGTGCAAACTGTGCAAAGAGGCCCCTGAGACAATCCAGCACATAACTGCAGGGTGCAAGATGCTGGCAGGGAAAGCTTACATGGAGCGTCATAACCAAGTGGCTGGAATAGTGTACAGGAACATCTGTGCAGATTATGGGCTGGAAACCCCAAGATCAAAGTGGGAAACTCCTCCAAGGATGGTAGAAAATGACCGAGCCAAGATCCTGTGGGGCTTCCAGATACAGATGGACCGGATGGTAATGGGAACCGGGCATTGTGGTGCTGGACAAAAAGCAGAGGAAAGCTGTTGTGGTTGACATAGCAATACCAAGTGACTGTAACATCAGGAATAAAGAACATGAAAAACTGGAGAAATACCAGGGGCTCAGAGAAGAGCTGGAGAAAACCTGGAAGGTCAAGGCATCAGTGGTACTCGTGGTCATTGGGGCCCTCGGGGCAGTGACACCCAAACTGGAGGAGTGGTTACAGCAGATCCCTGGAAATACATCCAACATCTCGGTCCAGAAAAGTGGACCCTCAAGCTCCAAGGCCTCTAGTAGAGGACCCGAGCTTGGAGGAAAAACAGGGGAAGGAAGAGGAAGATTTTTTTATATATATTTATATATATATATACTTTATTTTTGTATATATGGGCCTATATTTACTTTCAGTTTTTTTTCTTTTCTTTTTTTTTTTTTTTTTTTTTTTTTTTTTTAGAAAAGGCAATTAAAAGTCAAATGAATATATTTTGGATCCATTTTTGTGTGTTCCAATCCAAAGGCTCCAAACTATCGTAAAACATTTTCATCATTCAATTTTTAGGTATTTGTTTAAATTATATTTCTGTACTATATACCGGGGAAAATAAAACATATCAAGGAATAACCCTATAATTTTAATCTCATCGGCAGAAGTAAGTTTGTAAGAGTATTAAATACAATAATAAATAAATAAAAAGCATTGAAAATTAGCCAGGGGTAATTTGTTGCGACTTTTCGCTATAGTCAGATTTGTGAGCGCTGCAGTGAGCGATTAAGCGACTCAATCCAAGTAGCTACATTTAACGTAAATTCCACTTTCCACTTGAATAGCTTCAAATTATGTTTAGGTATAATGTCTATAAAAGGCACCAATGTTTTGTCATAAAAAAGGAACAATGAACTAAAATACCACTGGGAGCCGAAATGAGCGGATCTTTTTCTGTTCATCTCCAACAAATGATTTGAATCTCTAAAATAATTCCTTTGCTTTACGGATGGCGTAGCTATGGCAACAGAGGAACAGGTTAAAACGCAAAAATACACCAAAACTCGCTTTAACGTATATATATATATATATATATATATATATATATATATATATATATATATATATATATATATATATATATATATATATATATATTTTTTTTTTTTTTTTTTTTTTTTATACGACAAAAATATAGATATTACATATCTGGAGTTCTTCTATTGGTTATTAAGTTGTCAAAGTTTTTTATAAAAAAAAAAAAAAAGAAAGAAAAAAATGAAAGCGCCTGCTGGGGAATATCTCTTTAATGTCTGGTAGAAGACTCGGTTTCGTGACTCCTCCCATTTGGCGGCTTTAAAACAGCTTGTTTTCAGCTTCTTCTCAGCAGCTTTTCAGGAACACAATGGATTTCTTGATGTTTTCAGCAACAACTTGGACCTTAATTGCTTTCTCTGTCACCCTGTTGTTATTGCAAGTATTATGAAATGTTGTCATTTTTTATTTCAAAGTCTAAGAAAACAATAATATTTAAATTTATTTCTCTTTCTAAAAAATTAGGTACGGAACCTGGCCATTTAAGTTTTTTAAAAAGATAGGGGTATCTGGACCAAAACCACTTCCTTTTATGGGAAGCCTTTTGGGTTTCTCAAAGGTATAGTCTCAATAAACCCCCCCCCCCAAAAAAAAAAAAAAAAAAAAAAAGAATAATTTTATTATTATTTGTAACCCTGCTCTGTTTTTGTTTTATTTTTTGCAGGGACTGCTTCTATTTGACCGTGAATGCCACGCCAAGTATGGGGATGTCTGGGGGTGTGTAAACGATGGAATCAACTTTGTTTACATTTTAGCAGCCCACTTAGATTCCTTGAAAATCTCTTTTCTCAATTAGTTTTCTTTCTGTTTTTTTGTAAAAAGGATATTTGCTTATGCCTGTAGTTTTAAAATATCTGATTATGTGTTTGTGTTGATATAAATACACAAAAAAGCTGCATTTTTTGTTTTTCGCCCTGCCTTTTTTTCAGTTTGTTTGAAGGGCGAACCCCATTGTTGATGATTGCTGACCCTGAGATGATCAAAACCATATTGGTTAAGGAGTGCTACTCTACCTTTACAAACCGCAGGGTAAGACTGTGTTTATAAAACATATTTATTGAAAGCCTTATAAGTTGCTAATTACTCCTTTTCATGTTGAAAACAGTATTACATGCACCTAAAAAAATGAACTGCCTTATTTGTATTACCTATAGTAGAATCAATTTTAGTGCAACAGTTTGGATTTCTAGGAGTGTCTGGCAAGGTTTCCTGGAAATGTATATTGAGGAATTAAGATTACAGCAAAAACACGCCCAAGCTTGCAACATGATGCAACTGGAAGTAAGGCTCTGTTTTATTGTCCTTATAAAAGGAGTGTGAGCACGCTGTCACAGTTCAGAGCTGGGAATGTCATGCTGCACTGAACCTGCCGAAAGTCCCTTTTCCAAATAGGAAACTTTTTTTAAACATCTCATTTTCCTGCTTTTGTGTAAAAACAGGAAGCAGTTAATCCCCCTGACCTGTCAATAACCCTGTGGTTAGTTTTGAAGTCTCAAGTTACAGTATACTGGTGTGATCTTATAGCTGGTTGAATCTTATACTATATAGATTCATTAAATATAATTTACAAAATATCAATTCTTTAAGTCTTTTCAATTTAATTATAAGTAATTAATTATATTAAACTGTCACATCTTAATCTATTAATTTCCTCCACCCAAGTTTTTTTCCCCCAGTATTCTAAAGACTCATGAAGAAGCTACTGACTTGACTGATTTTCATAACACACAATCACTGACACCTACAATGGTAAAAGTTTATTGACACAGAAGCTGGTTTCTTCATGGAATGCTGTATCAAAACATGTTCATAGAAAGTTGAGTGGAAGTTTAGTAGGATAACATGCACCAGCAAAGGAGATAAGGGCAGCCCTGGGAGGATTTTCAAGCTTCAAAAGGAGAAGACTTAAGGCGTGAATCAATGCATCAATAAGCACTAAACATATACAACATCGGCTGCAAATGTCGCTGTCCTTGTATCATTTATTGGATTTTTTTTTTTTTTTTTTTTTTTTTACTTACATTATTTTATCTTTTCTTTGACTTTTTATTTCTCATGCTTTCCATGTGTTTTTATTTAGCACTTACCTGTTTTACTATGTAGCACTTTGGGATTTGTATAAATATAGAGTGCATTACAAGTCCAAAGTATTATTATTATTATTCAACTCCTAAACCAAAGCATGGACTTTTGCTCTCTTGTCTAAAGTTCTCTACTTCAGATGAAAGTAAAGTTGGAATTTTATCTGGAAATAAAAAAGCCAAATTCATACTTAAGCTTCTGGAAAGTTAAATAATTAATCCATCTACAAAAAGTTTGGTTATAAGAACGAGTCACATGGTTGGATAATTTCTGCAGCATATGTTACTGTTTTGCTTTGAAACAGATTATAATTGGTGATGGAGGACCTTTGGATGACGCAGTCACATCAGTGAAAGATGAAAGGTGGAGACGAATCCGCAGCACAATATCTCCATGTTTCACCAGTGGAAGATTAAAACAGGTCAGGATCTCATGTCCGTTCAAGCCTCCTCTGCTCTGTTTCCCCTCATTTCATTACTCAGTAGAACATGTGCTATATTTGCTATTTTTTTCCCCTAAACCACTTTGTGTCATACAAGAGTGACAGAAATTTATTTCCAGGAGTTTCTCACAGTCCGTTGATCCTGGTGATCAAATCATAAGATGCCTAAAGATGTTTATTTTTCTGAACACATTGCACATTTTCTTAGTAGTGTGGAAAAATCAGGGCGTGCGGAAGCGGTGTGAAGGATAAAATGAGGAAATTTGGAGTGTTTAGGGTCAACAGTGTCATTCATCGGGGAAGAAACACCAACACTGAGACACATGACGTGACTCCTTGCATGTAATGCAACAATGGCCTAGTTCCTCTCATTTTGCACACTCTGGAGTAGGAGAGTCTAGTGAAGTTCAAAGTTCATAGGATTCATTAATTTTTGTCCCTTTCCTTAAGGTTTTCCCTTTAGTTGTTCAATTTGTAGACAGGCTTATGGAAAAACTCGGACGTATGGATCTGGAAGAGCCCATTGATGTTAAGAAGTATGTTATATTTGTTGTATTCCATCAGATTACAGACTTCTTATCCCCTCATGAGAAAATTGGTCAATTCTTGTTTTATTTGTATTTCTCTTACTCCCAGGTTTGTTGCACCGTACAGCTTGGATGTGGTGACCAGTGCTTCCTTTAGTGTGGAGATCGACTCTATAAACAACCTCGATGACCCTGTTCATGCTCACTTGCAGAAGATTATGAACTTCAGATTTTGGCCTTTTCTTTTAATGTGTATGTCAGCTCTTTGTTTTTTTAGCATTTAGCATTGTAAATAGCAAATTCATGTAAGTTAAACAAGTTTAATTTGTCGTTTTAGCGATCTTTCCCTTTGGGCGTCATCTTCTGAAGCTCTTCAAAGTTGAGCTGATGCCCAAAGCCAGTTTGGACTTTTTCTATGACATCATTAAGAAATTTAAAGACCAGCACACTTCAGAGGAATCAGTAAGAGGCGACTTAAACTGTTAAATATTAGAGCAATCCAGCTTTCCTAATCTCTAAGAAGATGATTAATCAATTACATTGATACCTGTCCATTAAACCTCTAGTTTTTGAGCATTAACACACCTACTCAAACTGTAGCCTGGAAATGTTAAAAACAGCTAACAAAGCTTGTTTATTGTGAATCTATACATTTCTGTGCCCCATTCAGACTCGGGGGGACTTCCTGCAGGTCATGATCCAGAATGAGATCCCAGAATCTGACATAAAGAGCGAACATGAACAGCCGAGTAAAGGTCTGTTTGAAACGCAACTGAAGATCTAATCACTGTTTCCATTTAAACAGTTTTGTATCCAATATTTGATGTCTTCCTTATAAAAAGAATATTGCTGTTAGCTCACAGTTACTGTCTACAACGGTCTTGAATAATAACTTGATAAGTGAGGATAAAGTAAATATTTAACCAGAGGTTATGCCTGTGCACAGTCCTAAAGGTAATGCTAGAAAATAATGATTAACCAGTTCCCGTGCAATACAAATAATCTAACATTTCTCTTATCTGTAATAAAAATAGTCGAAAGAATATAGTTGTCAACATTTGATAATCTTTCTAAAAACTCATTATTATACTAAATAAATATGTAGCCTTTTTTCCATACGCTTAAAATGTCTTAATTATTTGATCATAACAGCTTGTTTATGGTCGTTAATGCAGTTGTAAGCTCCAGTGATGTTTTCTGTAATGAGGTAGGCTGTGGCCTTAAGAGATAAAAAGTTCTTCCTGGACATAATTATCAGATTCTATTCCCAGTGCAAAATGAGAAAATGGCGTACTTTAACAGACTATAAAATAAAAGGATGCAGCATGCTGGAAATTGCAAAGATGCGAGGATGTGATTCAAAAACCACCAGATTTTTTGTCTCAATAAACATGTTGAAAAAAGACGCAAATTAACAGCCATAAATGAAAGGATCAAAAAGCAAAGCTACTAGGAGCATGATCTCCTCCATTCTGGATAGATCAGGAACTTACATAATTATGGACACCAGGAAATTAACTATAAAGACACATCTGTACTGTTAAAGATAGGCTCTGTGGATGCACCTTGATGCTCTATCTCACTGGTTCTTTTCCCTGAAAAAAGATCACTTGGGAAAAACTCTTTAAATAACACTAACACACACACATGACGACAGATTCTGATAGAAATTGTAATCTTACTCAGATCAGAGAAATTGCTTAGAATGTACAGAAGGCAGCTGCTCACCTCCCAGGAAGTGGCCCCAATTAACAGTTAAAAAGGCATTTTATACATCTCCAGTCTGCCACATCATCTTATTTTACATCATACACGTTAGCAGATGATTAGACATCCATGGCTCCAGCCTTATCAAAATATTACACTTCGTTCTTAGCTGAAGGACACCGCTCTCATTCCATTCCCAAATCTTTTCCATGTACAGAATGAAGATTATAACTGTATATCCAGACAGAGAAACTGTCCTAATAAGATTAAAACATCACTTCTGACACAGGCAGCTAATACCAAGGTCTAATAAACTCGCACATCTTCAATGATACTAACAGTATTACTAACATCAGCGTTTCTTATTACAGGTTTGACTGAACATGAGATCCTCTCCCAGGCTCTGACCTTCATCTTCGGTGGCTATGAGACAACCAGCACCACTCTCTCTTTCACCCTTTACAACCTGGCAACAAATCCTGATGTTATGCAGACCTTACAGAAAGAAATTGATGCCTGTCTGCAGAAGAATGTAGTTTTTTTATGATGGCTTTTGTAGTCTGTTACGCTAGAATAGCTTTACTCCTTTATTTCCATCTTACTTCCCTCTTCTTCATCCAGACCTCCATCTCCTATGAGGACCTGAACGATCTGGAGTACCTGGAGCAAGTTTTCTGTGAGTCACAGCGCTTAGTTCCAACTGCGCCTCGACTTGAGAGACTCTGCAAAAATACGGTGCAAATTCATGGTCTCACCATCCCAGAGGGAACATTGATTGGGATTCCAGTGCATTTGTTGCACATGGATCAACGATACTGGAGCTCACCAGAAATGTTCAAACCAGAGAGGTAAGCAGCCAACAAAATGTATCAGAGGAAAAAAAAAGCCTGCAAAAACTCATCTAAAAATATGTGGTATTTTTTAAAGATAAGTGTATTTTCCTTTAATCGAAACAGATAAATAAGATGATCCAGAATCAGATTAGATGGCATTCACTTAAAAACCATATAAAATACTTTTCTTTCATTATTTTAAAAAGTAAATTATCTTCCTGCCCAAAACAATGGAAATACATCAATCTTTACTTTTGGGGTGTAAAATACTTTTCCCCTAAACACGTGTTTTTAACTGTTCTTTATTTTTGACCACATCATCGGCCACCTTATTCTGGTCCCTACAGATTCAGTAAGGAGAATGAGAAGGATCTGAACCCATACGCTTACATGCCGTTTGGCCTCGGCCCTCGTAACTGTGTGGGGATGAGATATGCCATCCTGGTCATGAAGATGCTCATCGTTCGCATCCTGCAGAATTACACCATGGAAACATGCAGAGATACAGTGGTGAGAAAAACACCCTGTAATAACCCTGACTGCTCATTCTGCTCTGCTCTCATATTAGTGTTTTATTTCTTTTTTTTTTTTTTATGTCTTTAGATCCCGATTCAGTTTGATTGGAAGTTCCAGCCACTGAAGCCTATAATGCTGAAGTTTGTACCAAGAAAACAATGATTGATGAGACAATACGTATAATTGAAATCCAGCTTGGCATTAAGTATATAATTCATTCTTTGAGACCAACTGTCTTTATTTCTGTGTTTATTTAAATGCACTGATAGGTTTAGATAAAGGTAAACACAGTATTTTTTAAACCAACAAAATCAAATCAAGTAATCACCTAAGACATGATAATCGGTTAAAAATAAAAGGAAAAAAATTTGTCCAGGGTTGGAGCATGTACCATCCTACACACCAGTTGCTGTTTTTTTGTTTTGCTCAAAATAATGCGAAAGGGATGATTTTCTAACGTGAAACATACAGGGACCCCATGGAGACACATAGCAGGTCAGGTGTGCTTTTATTCACATGACTTGACTGCATTTCATTATTCAAGTAAATCGGTTGAAAGCATGTTGCCTTTAATGTATTAAATAAATAAAATAACAATGTTTGTTTCCCTTTAATTTCATTAGACAGAACGTTTCTGTTTAGGATATATTCATGGGTAAAATAAAATATCCAACAGATATTTTGAGTATTAAAGCCAAGTGAGGTATTGGTTATTATTTTTATAACAAATTTTAAATAAGATTTCTTCATCAAAAGGCGAAAGCTTTTTTTTTACTCTTATCTCTAATTGTTTCAGTTTGTCCTCTAAACTCAGGACATGATTTTAAATAGCTTTCTTTAACATCAGGTTTTAAATTTTGATCAGATTAAAAGCCCTCCCAGCAGGAGTAACTTTGCCACCACATGAGAAAACTATGAACTGCTGGCTAGGTGGGAACTACAGTAGAAATGTTATTCTGGTTTCCAAACAGATGCCTTGGCGACTACTAATCGTCTCTAATAAATTTAGCAAGGCTAAAAACAAAAGACGGCGAAACAGACACATTTTCCAAAAAGTAACAACGGTTTATTTCATCTCAATATGTGAATGAACACATAAGGCTTTATTGGTGTTGTCCTGGAACTAAACATATATAATGTCTTGTCAGTTAAACTATCACAACATAAAAATGACATATTTTAGATTTTCTTTAATAATATTCAGGTGGGATACATTGTGTTTGGCTTTATTAAAATCTCTTGGGGAAAGAAAAAAAAAACAGTGTAAAACAGCTTAAAGTGGTGTTTCTGAGATTTCCTGTTGTGAAACTTCAAATCAAACATGTATTATTCTTGTAAATCTCACATGTGAGATTTTGAAGCCATCTTAAACAAATACTTTATATTAATCATATGAAAAGACATTATTTTTCTGTCAGTTTAAAGCTGAGGAATGTGAACGATCATCAGGAAACCTCAGTAACTACAGAATATTTCCAGCAGAGGGCGCCAGAGTGGTACCTTTGTGCATTTAATGAAACATGCTATAACAGGAGATACACTTGATACTAACTGATAGAGTGCTGATTCTATCCTTTCACACCAAGACAGTTGCTGGTTTCATGAAAAAACATCTCGTCTACAGTAACACTGATTTTTGTCATTAAGAAAACAAACAAAAAAAAGATAAAATAAACGTCAATTCAGACGCTTCAAAATGCTGTTGGACAATAACTTCTCCCAAGAGTAATCTGTAAAGGTGTCAAAGTATAACAGTGTGACGGAAGGAAATGTGATACATTTAACAGCTTAATGGTAAACTAATAATTGAAGACATAAAGGTTGAAAGAAAAAATAAGGATAGTACACAGAATGAAAAACATGTTTTGTTTTAACGTAAACATAAAAAACAAAATACTTCAAAGCCTCTAAGAGTCCTGAGTTTATAAAAAATAAACCAAACAGACAAAAAGGCCAGAGTTTTACATCATAGAAATCCAGTGAATTTTTAACAGATCAGGTTTTACAGAAACTTAAGTTATACGAAACATCTTCTAAAGACATCAGCGGCTCTTTGTTTATGAGCAGAACTCATTCTGCAGGAAAAAGAGCACCTTCCTGTAAAATGTAAAGCTTGTGACACTAAGGGTGAGTGGTGACCTTAGTTTTTTTTCTTCAGGGTGATGACAAAATTCATGACAATATGACAAAAAAAAAACAACCTTAAGAGAGTTTGTTTGATGTGACATCATCTTTCTCAGAGGCAAATGATCCAGGTTGATCTCAGGTGAAGAAGAGCTTTTAACGCTGCATTTGAATGAACTCAAATTTGACAATTTTTCTTTTTTTCAAATTGTAGATTATAAGGTACCGAGATTGAAGGCACCATGGGAGCTGCTACTGAGTGAGAGAGTCTCCTTCATCTCACTACCTGCACCTAGAACCTAAATGATAAAAACAAAATGTTAAAAACGTATCACCCCAGTAAAAGGTGAATGGGTTTGTACGAATCTGCATCTTCTGTTACATAATTCAGTTTGATGCATGAGGATTGTCTGGAAGAACCTGAGCTATTGCTGGAGAGTCCACTGGAAACAAAATACAAAGAATTAGGCTGACTACTTAAACTACAGTTTAACTTTATCCAGTAGTTTTGTAGGCTGGACCAAGTGATGCTGCTTTAGTTCAGTATTGTTAAATGCAGCTGCCAGCAGAGAAATTATTTATTAGCTGCAAATGACATCATACAGACTCACCAAACCTCTGCTAAAGATGCTTGAAATGACTTTATCTTCACTACCTGATATTCAACATTTAAAAAAATCCAACCTTTAATCAAAGTGTAGGTTTTCTTTTATTACTCATAAAGAGTTCATCAGATTGTAACTTTAAATCAATAATTGATGAACTTCTGCTTCTCTAGGCTTAAAAATATGAAGCAGAACAGAGCCTGGTTTCTTTTACCCATTCTTAAAAATAGAAACGAGAAGAGAAAAGATCACTTAAGAAAGACTGGAAAACACTACAAGATAAGAACTCCTCTGAATGTGTCCATATCTACAACCGGACACGATAAAAACATCTGAATTCACTGGAATTTTCAGCGACTCTGGATAACGACAGATCATGCAGGTAAACAAAAGGACTGACAGCTTCACACCCTCAATGCCAATGACTTGTTTAGGAGGCACGGCGGAGTTTGGTGGTGCTGTGGGACTATAACATTTGCAAGTGTGCCAGAGAGTCATTAAAATAGCATGACATCTTCGATAAAATATCAGGTTTTCTTCAAATAAAACAGATTTGTTTTGTTTCCAGGTCTAAGGACATGAAAACAGCTTAACAGATACCAAATCAACCCTTTTCCCTTAACACTTCATCCAATAGAAGACCACTGGGAGAGCATAAGGAAACCAGGGATGTTCCACACTTAATAAATTACTTAAAATTAAAGGTTGGATTTCTCCTAAACTTGCCACTAAATTTTTGTACAAATCCTTCCCTTGGATTCAGGTTTTATTAATCAACAGTCATAGAAAACGTTTGTTGAGGATTTCAGGGTGGGATCCTGAAGAGACAAGGACTAAATTTAAACTCCACCTGTCTGCTTTTAAGTGTTTTCACAAAACAGAAATGGGGCAGCCTTAAAGAAATGTTCAGTCTCAGTGAAAGCCAAGCTGGAAGATCTGAGGCCATAACACTGAACAGGAAGTTTCTCAACACCTAAATCAGTGTCTGAAAATCATTCACCTGAAAAATAAAAATAACTGGACAGCTATAGAAATATGATCATTTTCTGTATCAGTGTCCGAAGGAGTTTTTATGTGAAGCAGAATGACTATTTTCTTTACCCTGTGATGAGGTGGGGATTCCAAGTAACTGCTGGTACAATCTGCATGTGGTTTGTAAATGACAAATAAGTGGGGATGGTTTTGTCTTTGAAGTGGGAATAAAGAGGTCATTTTGTCAGCGGGAACCCTCCACAGACCCAGACTGAGACAGACTGTCCTGATGCTCTCATTCACAGCTGGCAGCAGTGCCTGAAGAAACCATCTGACAAGGCTTTTGGCCGCTGCAGGTTCTCCGTTACCTCACTTGCTCTGTAGGAAAGAGTAAAGGCCATCCAGCAGAGGTGGCTGCTTCTACCTGCGGGGCTGGGGACGAGCGTGTCGAGGCAATGAGGAGGAAGGGCTGGAGGAGGTTGAAGGAGAGCAGGGTGACATGGAGGCCAGGGAGGCTGTGGCAGCGGCGTCCTCTGCCTCCTCCAGCTCCCCGCTCGCTCCGTGGAGCTCCTGGCTCACGCTGGACTGTAAGGCAGCAGGGGTCAGCCATTCTTTGGGCAGGCAGCTCTGGAGGAATGGCACGCAGGAGCTGAAGTAGGCCAGACGGTTGACCCAACGAGGGATCTCCCTGCCACACAGGATCTGAGCAGTACAAATAAAGGAGGTGAGAAATATACAACAATCTGCCTTACAATTGGTGTGACATCATTAAGACCCAAACGACTAGAGGATACCACCTAACTATTTTTTATGGCAGCAGCAGAAGCTGCCGATAGGGGTTTAAAGATTATTTCTGATTTTAAACTTTGGCTTGGGAAGTCAGCAGTATAAAACAATTGTTTTATTTATATAAACACATTGTTCATTTAAATGCTAGTGTTCTTAGGTAGCAGCAAAAAGAAGATGAAATGTCTCCTAACTTGTTTCGCTAGGAAGAGAATCCAAGGCATACTAGCAGTCATATGATGATCTCATAGCTGGTCCTGTTTTTGTTCCAGGGGGCGGCCATCAGAAAGAAGAAGCTAATCCATAAATATCCTCCTAATTACCATCACCCCCATGGTTTAACCATTGCAGATAGGAAGACTTTTTACAGTCAACACAAACAGCATCATGTGAAATAAGAATCCAGATGACATGGAAGCAGGTAATGGAGGTTTGCAACAATTTGGTCACTAAAACACGTCATTGCCATCTATTCTAGTATTTATTTAAAAAGTAAAGTGTTCTAGTCAATGTAATTTACTCAAATTTTGTTTGGCGAGTACTAGTGGATGTAACTTGTGCCCTGTTTAATCCTTTCAATCTTTTCTATGTTGTTTCTGCAGATAAAAGGGATTCATCCTCTGCTTATGTGCTTGTTCTGTCTTGATCTAAAACAGATGACTGATGACACACCTTAAGGAAGGATGAGACTAGAAAACAAAGGAGGATATTGTATATATAGTAGAATACAATGATGTGACAAAGGAAAACTAACGGAAAATGTATGTTGTATGTTCTCCAAAAATCCACAAAAACATGACCACACCATAGACTTGTGTAACTAGATCATAACAGTGAGGAAGCTCTGGCTTGTTTACGAAAACAGGTGATAGACCAATATGATCTCTGGAGAAGAAATTATTACGCCTGATCTGCTCTTCTCTACCTTACCTGATCTAAAAATGAGTTTGATCCAGAGGGAAATTATTAAAATCAGCAAAACAATAACGACAATTTTTCCGTTTTTCCACTGACTGGATGTCTGAACTCCAAACTGTTATTTCCTGAGAGAGGGTTTCTCTGTGTGGTATTTACAGCACATATGTTCTACATCAGTGTTTGTGTTTGGGTCTGAGTGTATGCCAGCTGGCTCTGCACGTCCAGGCTTGTATCAGTAAGCTCTAGCTGCTAACTGTAAGACTCCCTGCTCATTAGTCACTCCAGCATAAGCTGATTGGTGGCTCACACACACAGACATGTATGCAACGCTACCCAGAGCAGAATGAAAACATAAGCTTGTTTAAGCATTGGGATATGTAACATTAATCTGTTTTTTGCAACAGCATCCAGTTGGAGTTATGTTTCCCATGGTTTCAACTTAATGTTAGTTTTATGTAAGGAGATGCCCTAATATGGAATTTTTTTTTGTACCCCACCTCTGAAAGTGCTGAGGAAAAGTGGTTGCAGTTCTTGTGCATGAGGTGGTAGGCATTGCCCTTGTATTCCTTTCCCATTTCCTCCATGATCTTCTCCACATCCTCCTCTGTGAAGTCCGTGCTGCCCAGGACTATGGCTTCTCTGCAGAGGGGAAACCAACATCATTCATCACAGAGCGCAGGGTCATTTTATCCTGCTAAATAAATGGATCGCTTTAAAATATGGTAATATTCAGTAAAAATCCAATTTACATAAATGTTTTATTACCCCCCCTCCCCCCCCCCCCCCACACACACACACACACACCACACAAATGGATGCAATGACCAGTCTTCCTAAGGACTATAACATAGAAGGCAGTAAAAATGTACAGCAGGATATATGATAGACAGTATTTTAGATGATTGAACTGATCATTTTCCTAACGCTCACAAGTTTTACTAAACTGTTATGCAGTAGTTTTAATGCATTTATGGGCCGACAATGGTGAGACCTCTTGGTTTAGACTGTTTCACCCTGTGATAATCAATGGGAGACGTTTAAATTTCTCTTATTGGATGATCGAGGCATTTCTAATAAGAGTATTTTAAAATTTTCTTTTGGAGGTTATCAGAAAACAGTCTTTGAAAAGACGCGTACCTGAGTCATTTCTCCCACATGATCCAAACCTACAGTCTCCTACTCTGTATGAGGACACCATGCAAGGCTGTGTGTTTGTTTGTGTGGAGTCTCTCTAAAGCCATAGGGCAGGTCAACTAGAGCAGAAGTAATACGCAGCAGCACAGCAGCTCTGGATAAACAGAGGCTCTCCTAACGTATTGAACCGACTTCTCTGCCATTTCTCTGACTTCAATCCAACTGCAGAGCAAACCATTCAAAATAAAACCCTCTGTTGCAGTTAGCCAAAGGACCAAACCCAACCTCAATAAAGCAATCTGACAGTCAATATCTTTGTATTAATAAAATACAACATGGAATTGCATATTATATTCCTTGTTGCACTTTTGAGGAATTCCAATATCTAACATGGCACAAAAATAATTATATAATTTATATAATATTTTTACTGAATTATGTCAACTCTATAAGGCCCTTTTTCCAAGTTTCTGGAACATAAAAGAAAATAAATGAAAAGAAAATGCATTTTATGTCAGTAATTAAATATAATAAAACATTTGTATTGCTATTGTGGAGGATTTCCATAGATTTTTGAAAAGACCTGCCCTCTCCTATAAAAAAAAAAAAAATGCAAATGCACACCCCTGTACCCTCTCCTGAGAGGGAACGCCTATTAAACGCGTGCGGGAGCGTGCACAAGCCCATTTCTCCTCGTGCACACTCTGTTTAAAAGTTACCGTTTGCAAGAAGAAATTTTTCCTCCATGTCAGGCTCACCATCGGTAAATAAAAATAGGGACCAGCAAGTAGGATGGCTTTACATAAACATATCACCAGAATGATTGACATTTAGGAGGACCACTTATCTTGATGATGCTGGCGGAAAAAGAAGATCATCCACTATACCTTAAAATATGTTGATAGAACAAACAAACTTTAAATGCTATATACACATTCCCCCTTTTCTTTGAGGTATTACATAACCATTCTGATTTTGAATGACTCTGAAATATTTCCTGTGTTTATTTTGACAGAGATTGTAATCTTAAATCATATATAAAATCAGAAAAATTTTAAATCCAAAAATATATGCCTTTTATACACTAAAACAAATGCATCAAACTCAAGGCCAGTGGTAGGTCCTGGCCTAGTAGTGCAATTTATCCAGCTCACAGGACCAAAACAAACACTAAGATGTCACATATGAAATATCGGCATATGTTTTCATAAAGTGTAAAAAGGGGCTAAAATTGTTAAATTAATGGGAGTAAAATTATATAAAAAAAAAAAAAGCAGGGAGTTCTTTGAAAATTAAATGTTGAAACCCAAGGTTGTATTTATAAGGCTGCAATGGGCCCTTTAAAAAAGGCTTGATGAGGTAGAAGTGACCTCATATTAAAATGAGGCGACAACCTTCCAATAGAAAGAGTGCCAAAACATTTTCAGCAGTCTTCTCTTCGTAGCAAGAGATTTAACCTCTTAACATCCACCTCATTTTGGGTAATCCTCGCCTATTTTGCATACCCAAATGGAAAAGCAAATAACTTAGGAAGTGTAGGCCTAAATTACATGTGCAATACATTATTTAAAAGCTAACATCCTCTAGTTTCTGAATATATTAATTCATACTGGGTGAGAAGAACACAGACCAAGATGCGTCAGTTCAAAAATGACTTAAAGTTGTTTTTTTTATTCTCTGAAATTGTTTTGCCTTTTTTGAACAGACATTCTTGAGAAAAAGCAGGTTTTATTGTATTATATTTGTTTTACATCATGTCAACCACAAATGCAGTAAAGTTCAGACCTCTAGCTATAAAAGTTCCAGAGCTGTGGGGTTTTGAACCTTTTGTGGCTCCACCTACTGGTAAAACTTTCTGGCGAAATTTTATGCATTCTGAATTATTACCCCCACTAAAGATCCACCAAATCACCAGCGACCCAGTGGTTTTAAAATGGCAATCAAGGTACATTTCTACAGCTCCAACATGGTGGAGAATCTTAGTTTTAATTCAATTAATGAAGAGAAAAGGGGTTAGATTTCCTCAAGTGATCTGACAATAACCAATTAGAGAAGATTCAAAGAAAAATTACTCATTCCTGATCAGGATCTGATTGTTGCAACTCTTGTTAAATACAATTTCAAACAAAATCTTTATGATGGGAACAAAGGTACTACTCCACTAACCATTGACATTAAGACTTTTCTGTTGGACAATATCACTTAATGATGACTGGTCCCTAAATTTGGCTGTTTAGAGTGAGGTGTTTGACTTCGAGTAAAAAAAGAGGTAGTTGGAAAGAGAAAAAATCTAAATAACTTGAGACATTCTTTGTGTGCCAATTCTGACATTACTGCCTATTTAAATATTTTTTGTTGTTTAACTGCTTTGTGGATGAAGAATTCTGTTTTTAGTCTAAAGTGGCCTGAATAACTATCTCAGCTAAATGGTTGATTATGCAATAAGTGAATCAGCTGAATTTACGCAGAAGACACGTTTTCTGACTTCCAGGTTGCGTAATAATTTCCAAAGAAAAAAGAAACAGATGCATTGTGCTTGTCTGAAAAGTAATAAAACCAACCCCGCCTACGTACTTGAACTTAAACGTTTCGCCAAGTTCAGTTGCGTCACCTGGAGTGATCTCAAAGATCCCTGAGAATGGGTATGGATGTCCACCGTAGGCAAACTCTAAACACAAGAACAGACTCATTTTAGCACAAGTAGAAAGAAAGGCCTTCGTTAACCAATGTTTGTAGACCTGTCTTAGAGGAAAAAAATATATATTTTCCACTATATTAGGATGATAACTTCTGAGCCTTTAAAAAAAAGCATATACTTCCAGAACTATCAGAGTATTTGGTATATAATCTCTGGCCAACCTTACCTCTTCCATAGATCTCAATTCCTGAGTGAAAAACTCCAATACCCAGAGAGCTGGTGAACTCATTGATCCAGTACTGCAAAATGAGCAAAAAAAGAACACGTTAGGTCAAAGTCTGCATTATATACTGCTGGGTAAGTGAAACGCTCCATACTATGCTTAACCCTGTTACGCACAGCAGGTATGGACAACATTTAATGATACTTCAAGGCCTATCTGCAAAGTTTCTGGTCCATCGAACCCTATAGTCAAAATATTTGGTGAACCATCCAATTTATACCAAAACAGAACTCGGTATTTTAGCTGGAAGATTTTACTGTAAATGTGTTAAACTAATATATATAATGTCATAGAGGGGCAAGTGTAAGGCCCGTGCCTATAACAGACAGACAGATATTAGGGCTGCAACTAACATCTAAACTAACTGTTGATTATTTCTTTGATGAATCGATTATTATTCGGAAAGCCAAAGGTTTCTTAAAGGAGGTTTCTTAAAGAAAAGTCCACTTGAGTTTTGGATAAATACAAAATGTTAACATATCTTTTTACAATCTTGGTATTATTGCTGCTCATAGTGTATTGTTTTTTTCAGCTATGGCATGTTTTACAGACTCTATACTCCAGTTAACGATTAATATCTATATCTATATATATATATATATCTATATCTATATCTATATATATATATACATATATATAGATATATATATACACACACATATATACACACACACACACACACACACACACACACACACACACACACACACACACACACACACACACACACACACACACAACAACAACAACTAACCAGTAATGGAAAATATTACCACTACAATGAAATATAAAAAACCACAAAACACATTAGTACTTTAAAATAGTAATATTTTTTCACACTAGCAAGGCAATGATGACATACTTTGTAGGCCTATGTGGACTTCCAAAAAAATGCTATTTCAATAAAGTTTTCAACACAAAAACAAGAAGCCCAAATGAACCTTTGATCCTTCGACAAAACCTTAAATGCAATCACATCAGGCTAAAATACAACACAATGATGCAAATCATCACTATTTTACATTCACCTATTACTCTGGCCATTTTGTTTTATTTTGACATTTATGTTTCCTGTTTAAAATAGAGACCCTCAGTGCCAGATGACTAGAGGTGAGTATTGGCATTAGTGTTGCGATTCGATACACGCCGCGATACTTGGGTCACGATACAATATTATCACGATATTGCAGTATCACTATATATTGCCATATTTTCCCCAGCTATCAAAATCAAATGATGAGATAAAACAGCAAGTGCTGTATATTTTCATCAAAAAATATTGATTAGGTATTATTATCCATGTTGTTTGGGGTTTTATTCCACTGTGACCGCCTCAAATACAGATGTGGTGCTGCAAGCACAGTTAAAGGGCTCCACAGCGCTTTCTGCCAGAGTGGTGGTTCAGAGGTAGCCCATTTTCCCATCAATGTTTTATGTAACCATTTTTTAAAAAAATCGATACTAAGAAGTGAAAGATCGATATTATATTGGGAAGCCGAATATCACGATATAACGCCAAAACGATTATTTCCCACACCCCTCCAGATGACAACATATATTTGGCCCAATTCTTTAAACTAAGGTGACAGAACCAACAGCTGCCATCCACAAATGTTGAAAATGACATTTATTGGTCAGAGTCTCACATAGGAATAGTATAAAAATGTCTATTAGGGACACATTACTGCCTTAACTGCAGCAGCATTTCTCTCTCATTCTACCAACTGACCAGTAGGTAAAAATAATATATTAGCACAGGAAGAGCTTTTATACTTAACTCACATGCTGATTTTTATCATTTAAAATCAGCATAAACTTTCCAATGTTCACATTGCTTAATTCATCTGCCGCTGCTTCAAACTCTTGATGTAGAGAGTTTGTAGAGATAACGTCTTCCGGGTAAATATCACAATATACCCAGGAGATGTAAAAACCTGCCTCAGGTTGAGGTTTTTGACACAAAGCAGCATTTTGATAATCTGCTGTTTGTTTGGCGACAAACAGTTTTAGAACCAAACTTGTGATTTTCTTTTTCCTTTGGGGCTACCCCAAAAATAAAGGAAGTCTTTGTCAACTTGTTGGCTATGACTGCTCTCTTTAGAAACTTTATGTGTGAAAAACATGAACAACAACAAAACCCATGCATCGCTGCAAGAGAATCCTCTCATGAACAGTTCTAAAACATTAAAAGCTGCTGATGGGAGTCAAAGTAACTGAGACAATGAGTGTCTGGGGATATTTTTCCACAAAGTTATAGCAAGTAATTTGAAAAAGACTGCTTTAAATCTTTGCTAAGTGTTAAAACATTTCTTAAACAAAGGGATGAAAACAGAGCAATGACTAAACTGAAACAGCTTTTGCTGTATTTTTGTGGTTAAACCCCAAATGAACATCACTGCTCTAAAAATGCAAAGGAAATGAGAGACCGAAAGAAAGGAAATGACTATCAGACATACATATAAGGGTTTATCAAGTCTGCTTTTAGCTGGTTATCTTGAAAGTCTGATTTTTAGGTCTTAAAAGCCAATTTTTTCTTTTCAGATCACATTTAAATCTAAGTTTCTACCTTCATGCTTCAGAGAACAAAGGACAAACCAAATGCTGAACTCCTGAAACTCCAACAAGCTTTGCAACGGTGCAAAAAGAGTACATGTACATCACAGTAACATAATCCTATCTTTAATTATTTAGCATCAATAAGACCTGATAGCAGTGAGTTGTTCCCTCTTGGTCAGGGTCCGACTCTCGATAAAATGAAGGAGTTTATATTTTTTGTAGTTTTGTTATGATGAGCAAGGAGATGGGACTGGGTTCTTATCTGGAGTAATGCAGGCATTGCTTTGATCTTTCATATCAAAGACTGGTCATATGCTTTCACACAGAATTTGGGAGATCCTTTATACAAGCAGGTCAAATAAACTTCTTTCGATTAATCCTGGGACTCAGTCAGCTGATGATGGGATGAGGAGTTCCTGGTTCTGGCATCGCCACAATGCAACGGTTCCTCTGAGAGGAGATCCCAGGCCTTATTGGAGGTCATATTTCCCTTCTGGGTTAAGATTTCCTTGGTATTCCCAGAATCAGCTGGAGAATCAATAAATAAGCAGAATGGATGGGAGAAAATGCATTTAATATTTTTAAGAATTTCAACTCAAACTTTCTGTGACAAAAGTCTGTCACAAACTAATAATTTTTTACCTTCTATTTCCACAATGAAGGTCGTTCCATTAAAAGTGCCTCGAATATTTTAGTTTATCACCAAGCTTTTGTTTTTTTCTTCTTAATGACAGCAGAGGGACACAATAAGCACATCCTCCTCAGTTACAAACAGACCTAATGTCCTACCATGTTTTCTCATTGACAGAACAGGGTGAGATACTCCACCCGTCCGTCTGACAGTCTAGCAGGCAGTCAGGTGGTGTAAAGATAATGCTCTCTCATTACAGGGCTGCACTAAAGCACTCAGAGTGAGCCAGAAAATCCACTTAGTGGAGACAGGAGCAGGACGGTCAGGAGAGACAACAGGATGGGGAATGTGGAAGAAGAGAGAGACTGGTGCTGCACTTACATTCCTGAAAATCACGTGAGGCTATTGATCCACAGATGGAAGGATGAATTTTCATCAGTCTTAAGCACAGACACGGTTATGCACAAAAAGAAGTAAACAGATAAAATGTCAAACTTCATCCTTCTGTTAGGAAATCAAACAGATGCAATTCAATACTGGAAAAAAAAAAGGGATTTTTTTTCTTATTGTTTTGTTTTCTACTCTATCACTTTAATCAAGACTAACAACTATCTAACTCCTCTTGGGTCAATAAAAACATCACAAACATTTAATCTTACACATTTTTATGAGTTTTAGGGAACGTCCCGCTGGTAGACCAGAGTCTTATCCCACTGAGACCATTACTACATGTCTTCCCCTCTCATCCATCCCATTTCCTGTCTGGTAACTGTGTGAAATAATGACATCAGATAAGGATAGGGACATAAAGAAGAATAAACTACCTGCTGTGTGACACAGAACCTAAGCACATACAAAAACTGAAGGTAATGCAATAGTAGTAAAAACTCAAGAAGAAACTGTAATTATAGTCCCATATGACTAATCGACTTCCTGTAGGTCTGCAGGAGCTATTTCTGGGGCATAACAGTGACATTATTCAATTACCCACCTCCACGGTTTACTACCAGGTGTAGCAGCACAAAAACAGACCAAATGGTATTAGCACATAGGTCAAAGTTTCCAAGTATCTGAAGAAGTAACGCATCTGCTGTAAGAATTGAAACCATTGGATTATTTACTGCAGGAATGAATGATGCTAAACTAACCAGTTTAGTGGGGCCTAGCTAAAAACTCATAAGCACCATCTACACTACCCTCTGAAAACCTTCGATGCCTAGCTTGTTTCCTTATGGCTGTGTACACATCACGCTAGCACAGTTCCTCCCCTCCTAGTGACGATCTAGGGGTAAACAAGCAAACCAACATGGCGGCGCCCGTAACATTCAGGAAGTTTGCGGAGAGTCAGGTGAAGAAGGCAGCCTTTGGTGAATTTACTTGACGGAGCCGGATTGTGGGATGTGGATAAGAGAAGCGATAGTTTAATCAGGGCTTACAGACGTGGGAAACAATGACAGACTTTGAGATTCATCACATTGCTAAGCAGAATCATCACATGAAATCGTGTGGCACAGCAGGGAAGCTTGTATTTTTATGAATGTCGGAAATGTCATGATTACGGAGGCTAACTGTAAGTAGAGGATGCAGTTTGCTCAAGCGCTCTTTTTTTATCTGAGAACCGACGCAGAACTGAACCACGCCGAGCCCTACTGATGAACTAGTACCAGTTTAGTGCATTTTGGTTGTGTCTGGCGCAGCCAGTTGTGCGTGCCATTTACACTCAACAGTTATCGCGGTTACTGTGCTCGGACCAATCTCGGCACGGTTTCAGAAGGGTAGTGTAAATGAGGCTATAAACTAATATTCCCCCCCGAAAAAAGAAATATTGA